CACATTATGTATGTATGTACAATTATTTTACATTTTTAAAAAGTATACCAAATGTCTTTTGTACTGCACAAAATAACTACATGTTTTTATTAGACTGACTGATTTATCTATTAGTAAAATAACTATTTCTTTCAAAATGATATTATTTAGAGAGCTCATGTAATCATTTATTCATACATGTATTCTCACAGGACAACTCAGCCGGTGTGCTTTCGTAACAGCGCTGTCCAGGAGAGAAGTTTGATCAGACGAACAAAGTTGGACATATCTGTTCGATAACGACGCTCTGAACATAAACTTATAGTGTGTTAGATTTTAGAAACCAAAGTCTCGGGTAGCTCGGGAGCCAAGTGTGGAGGATGAGGTTTGTTCAGTCAGGACAGGAGCYGCAGGCTGACCGGTAGGCCCACCCTGCTCTGCTCTGATTAGATAAAGCTGTGGGGTTCGTTTGATTTGTTRAAAGCAGCATCTGTTTAAACCTGTATCAGACTGGGCGGCTTTAACCAGACCGCAACAGAAAACAAGCAGGTTTGTCTAYACCGACATGGGCAAAATGACGTCGGTCATGAAATTAGCATATCATGATATAATTCATTTTCCCGGACAACTTTTTTTTTTACTGGTATTATYGTGAATGATATGTTATGGCCCAGCCCTACTCCAAATGAAGTAGATATTAAATTCCTGCTAAAAGTSCTAAAGCTAGCTGCTGCTGCCTTCTCTTACAGACAATCACATAATTTGCCTAAATGTAAACGAAGGTCGAAGATGAAACTGACGGAAATGTAAATTACCATTAGCATGATTAGCTATGAAATGTTGGAAATAGTAATTTTAGTATGATAATAATCCACCTTGCCTCCACTCGGACTAGTCTTTAGCTCATCAGTCTGGTTAGAATCAAACRGAGGTCGCTCAAAGAGCTTTGTWYAGCAGGTAAGATRTTAACTGTTCATAACCTCTCCACTGAATCTCACTTTAAACCAAACAAAGCACTTTAAGTTCTGTTTTAGTTTAAACTGTTAATGCGTGTCTCTCTCCCTTCAGGTCGTCTCCTCACCTGCAMTCATGCCAACCCTCTGCAGGTGTGCTCGGCCTGCATCAATGTGCCACGCCCTTCCTGAGGGAGAGGGGATGCTCTCTCCTCTCTGCGGCAGGCAGCCTGAACGCAGCATAGCTGGTGGTCTTCCCGTACAACTTGCATTTTAGTGTTAATAAACTGCTTTTTTAGTTAACTTCATCACTTAGTCTTGTGCTCTCATTGCTTCCCTTTGAGCCAGTGGCTTGTAACAAAACACTGACAAAAAATATAATCAAGCTGAAAATGAAGTCACTTCAATGCGCTTCTAACTGAAAGTACAGTTTTCACAAATTATGCAAACTTTAAGGACTCTATGAAGTGATTAGAAAAAAACTGACCTCACTATATTTTATTTATTTATGCCTCCACAGAGTGCTTATGTTTTCCAATCGTTAATGAGTTTGTATGTTTGTTTCTGAACAAAATATTAATTCTGCCACCTGGTAAATTTTTGCAACTTTTGTACCTCTTATCTGTTTAAGACTTCATCATCAGACCTCTGCATTTTTTTCTTCTTAATTATCTATTATTTTTCCTTTGATGTAATTAGAATTTTATAAGCTGGTAAAGAAGCAATAAAACACTAATAATACTTTATGTTTTGCACTTAGGCTGAAGGATCGTGCAGTTTCCAGAGTAGATGTTTTGCCAAATTGTCCTACCTCTGTGAAAAATAAAAAGTTGTACTGCCATTTTTGGTTTTGAATTAAAACAAGCTTTTTCATCACGYTATGAAGGCTAAAAGTGCAGTAAATCCTCGCGACTCGTGCCTTCTGAGAGTTTTACATGTTTGAGTTGAAATGTGATTATGAAAGCTGAACCCTGGGGAGCCCTTGAGACGCTCTTTATGACACCATCTGTAGCCGTTTGAGTGCACGTTTTTCTGGATACGTGAGGTCCACCGGGGCCCACGGCTGCTGCAGATTTATGTTTCCATGAAGCAGTTTGAGCGTAATCACTTTAACTCGACACGTCTGGGTAAATTATAACAAAATGACAAATACAAAATGTTTACATGGAATATTTGTTCAGTCTGACAGATCTGTCATGGAGATTCTGTGGTAAGGTTATGAATAGTGATTATCTTACCTGTTGTAGATAGCATGCTTTCTAACCTCAGCTGCGGCAGCAGGTCAAACAGACACCTCTCTCAGTGATATGTTCAGGATCCGATACCTGAACCTCCCTCAGTTTACTGTTTTTGATGTGGAGGAGCAGCAGCTCCACTCTGAGACCCTCGCACACCCACCAGCTTTTTCTATAGCCAAGTCTTATGAAGAAAGTTTGGATCAAGGATTTTGTTCTCATTTCAAACCACAACAGGAACAAGATCCACTTTGAATGCTTTACCTGCAGCGGACAGAACCATGACAGTTTGAAGAATCACAATTTCACTTGGAATTCCTGTAAATTACATTTGCATGAACTCCTAACTAATTATGGACCAAAATTTGACAAGAATTTGCATATTTATATACAATATACATAGCACAAAAAGTAAGGACATCTGTGCTTTGTAAATTCTTCTTTTGTTGTAACAAATCTTGTCAATAAATCTTATACTGTATCATTAATGTCCCTTTTAAACGGTGCCACATTTGCAAGTTACATTCATTTGTGGGATGAGCAGTCAAGCTTGCACATGTGAAAAATTTACAATTTTTTTCTGCCAAACAGATTATTTTGCTGTTCTTATTGACACTTGAGCTTCTGGTGCCTCCAGGTGCTGCCAATCAGTGCCAGATATAAGATTTATTGCCAAGAAGCATTGTTACAACAAAATAATCTACCAAACATAAAGTTTCTTACTTTTTGTCCTAAGTTTATTTATATATCCATTTAAATCTATATCTATACTGTCTATCTGTAAAATGGGAATGATGGACACTGTGGCTCCAGATGTTCTCAGAGTTATTTTGAGAATAAATTAGTCTTTTTGAACCGTGTTTAAGATTTWATTCACTTGAAAAACTAAAGAAGGGTTATGCAAAATCCACTTTTGTTTTATACTTATCGTCTCTAGAAAAATTTAGATATCTTTATCCTCTGTTTGGGTCATATTTTTCCAACACGTTCCATTTTCTCTATCTTCTATAACAATTTCTGAGATGTTACCTCACAATTTTTGCAACAGAATTGCCAAGCAGAACTTACCAACTACAATTTGGAGGTCTTTATTCTCCTCTGGCTCTGGGTCAGACTCTGGCTCCAACAAGGACGGATGGACAAGTCTTCTGTTTCTGACATTTTAATTAATTTGTAAATAAAATGTTTCTACAATGCTATACAATCATAAAGCGCTTTGTATGAATTTAAAGAGACAGCATCAAAACAAGCTGCTCTGAGAAACACCTTGGAAAAAGGGTGAAAGAGGGGCTTGTGGAGTTACAGTAAGCAGGAATTCAAATCAAAGCATTGCAGTTCCACTTTATATAAACCCCAACTGATTAATTGAAGAGGATGGAGATACTCATGACAGCTCTATTTTAAAAAATAAGATCTTGCACCTTTTCTGTTCAAAATTCAAACTTAATGCTGTGCAACTCTGCGGCACACGAGGAAACTGAGAAWCCCCACAAACACTGTGAGACATTACTTCTTCACAAATGCTGCCAAGTAGTTTCATTCCAGTGAGATCCTACCTTTACCTTCTGGATAACTAATGAGGCAGGTGTGTGTGTGTGTGTGTGTGTGTGTGTGTGTGTGTGTGTGTGTGTGTGTGTGTGTGTG